CCCGGAAAAGGGAAAAGAAAGAAAAAGAAAAGAAAAGAAAAAGGAAAAAAGAAAAGAAGGAAAGGAAAGAAAGAAAGAAAAAAAGACAAGGATAAAAAAAAGAAAAGAAAGAAGAAAGAGGAAAAAATCTCCCAATAAAAAAAGTCCTGGACCAGAAAGGTACAGTGACGAATTTTACCAAACATTTAATAATTGATGCCAACCCTTAAACTCTTCCAAAAATAGTTGAAGAGAAGGGAACACTTCCTAACTCATTTTATAAAGCCATCATTACCCTGCTATGAAAACCAGACAGAGACCCTACAAGAAGAGGAAACTATACACCAATATCTCTTAAGAATATTGATGAAGAGATTATTAACAAAACACTAGTAAACAGAATATTCTATAGCATGTTAAAAAGATCATACTCTAAGAGTAATTGGGGTTTATTCCTGGAATGCAAAAATGGTTCAACATATTTAGATCAATCATTATAATACACCACAGTAACAGAAAGAAGGAAAAAGTTATCATATGAATTAATGCAATAAAAGCCATATATTCACTTGATCTTAGCCAAAAGGCTGAAAAGTGATAAAAGATTTATATTTAAAAATCCACAGCCCGCATCATACTTAATAGTGAAAGACTAAAAGTGTTTCCTCTAAGATCAGGAACAAGACAAGATGCCAGCTTTCACCACTTCTATTTAACATAGTACTGGAAGTCCTAGTGAGGTCAATTAGGCAAGTAAAAGATATAAAAGCCATCCAAACTGGAAAGGAAAAAGTAAAATTATTTGTTTGTAGGTATCACAATCTTAGGTGTAGAAAACTCTAAAGAATCCATAGACCAAAAAACCCTGTTAGAACTAATAAATGAATTCAGTAAAATTGCTATATACAAAATCAACACATAAAAGTCCACTGTGTTTTTATTTCCCAACAATGAAAAATCTAAAAAGGAAATTAAAAACACATTTCCATTGACAACAGTATCAAAAAGAATAAAATACTTAGGAATAAACTTGACTAATGAGGCAATAGACTTGTATGCTAATAACTACAAAATGTTGCTGAAAGAAATTAAAGACAATACAAGTAAATGGAAAGACAGCTATGTTAGTGAAGTGGAAGGTTTCATATTGTTAAGATGTAAGTGGTACCCAAAATGATCTATAGATTCAATGCAATCTCTATTTTAATTTCAATGATAATTTTTGAGGAAATAGAAAAATCCATCCTGAAATTCATCCTTAAATATCATTCACCTAGATGAATGCTCAACTAACTAGATTAGTGCTTAACATCACTAATTAGAGAAATACAAGTGAAAATCACACCAAGGTATCACTTCATACTCATTAAGATATCACTTCATACCCATTAAGATAGCTACTTAAAAAAAAAGAAAGCAGAAATTAGCAAATGTTGGGGGGGGGGATGTGGAGAAATTGGAACCCTGTGTATTGCTGGTGGAAATGTAAATTTGTTAAGCTTCTGTTTAAAGCAGTATAGTGGGTCCTCAAAAAATTAAAAATGGAATTATCATATGATTCAGCAATTCTACGTCTGGATATATCTCCAAAAGAATTGAAAACAAGGACTCAAATAGGTATTTATTTGTACACTCACATTCATAGCAGTATTATTCACAACAGCCAAAAAAAAAAAGAAAAAAAAAAGGAAAGCTAACCCATTGTCCATCGGCTATGAATAGACAATAAAATGTGACATATACATACAATGTAATATTAATCAGCCTCAATAAAGAAATAAATTCTGTCATATGCTATAACATGGATGAACCTTTAAGACATTATGCTAAGTAAAATAAGTCAGTCACAAAAGGAAAAATACTGTATTTCACTCCTGTGAGGTACCTAGAGTGGTCAAATTCACAGAGACAAAGTAGAATAGTAGTTGTCAGGGACTTTCACTGTGGAAAGCAAAGTATCATTCACCTAGATGAGCACATGTCCAAGAAAATGTTAGATATCCTATGCCGTGGTAGTGAAAAGTTATCTTTTCAATTTGGGATATGCTAGTATTTATCAATTTTCTCTATGTTTAAACACTCAGGCACTTTCACTGTAAGTAAGAGGTATTGTTTCTCTGCAATGTAGAAAATCACAAAATCCATTTTGTCACATCCAAATATTTATTTAATTCATAACTTCCATAACACACTAAGTTGATTTTACAGAAATAAAAACATTTAGAAATTGATCTGGGAGTTTAGGACACAGTTGTAGAAACAGAAATAGAAACCTAAGACCAAAAGAGGATGACTACGATATATTCAATGTCACTTATTTTCTAACTAATTTATTTCTGCTCATGATTAATTAAATGGCCTGTAATTTATCTGTGATTACTTTGTAGAACATGCATGCTAAGAGAAAAGGTTGTAGATATGAGTACAAATAGCTTTCGATGAAAGCTATTTGTTCGCCTGGTTTTATTGGTCTATCCTGGGTTATGCTGGTGGAGTGAGATGCTCAGATTCACAAACAGGATAAGATACTCAAGGAGCGTTGCTCACCATTATTTGGATTTGGAGAAGAAAAGAATGGGCACAGTGACTGGCAAGCAGAGAGAGTGGTTGATGTAAAGATATGAGATCCATTGCCAGGCACAGTGGCTCACACCTGCAACCCCAGCACTTTGGGAGGCCAAGGCGGGAGGATCACGAGGTTGGGAGATCAAGACCCCATCTCTACTAAAAAAAAAAAAAAAAAAAAAAACTAGCCGGGTGTGGTAGCACATGCCTGTAGTCCTAGCTACTTGGGAGGCTGAGGCAGGAGAATCGCTTGAACTTGGGAGGCAGAGGTTGCAGTGAGCTGAGATCACACCATTGCACTCCAACCTGGGCAACAGCGCCAGACTCCGTCCCAAAAAAAAGATATGGGATCCATCACTAAGGTAATAACAAATACTGTTTGCAACGCCAGTATCCAGCAAAATCCCTGCTTTGTGTAACCAGGGATCCACCTACAGTGCAGTCAGAAGCAGAGTGCTGGCTGAGAAGCACCTTGCCTTTCTCAAACTCAGTGTCCAAAATTCAAGTTCTGTAGACAGTTTGATCTCTCGTCGCTGGTGAAGAGATTCTTTGCAAGCTCTTAGGTCTGATTCTGTGCTTATTCCCAAATCTTCCTCCTAATAATGGCAACTGGAAGTGAACTGAGAGGAGCCCAAACTCTGAAGGTCAATCTCAGCATGCTCTTTCAGCTTCTGTTCCATATGCTCACGTTGGACACTCTGCAGGTCATCAGAAATGACAAGGATCTCATCAGCTGTGTCAACATCCAAGGTCATATCTACTGTGGAAGAAAAAAATCAACCTCTCAGCAAGTGGGCAGTGCATCTATTGCATTCAAACCCAAAGCAGCCACCATTAATTCTATGACACATTGTAATAGACACTAGGAACAGAGAGAGATGCCTGAAGACTTTGCACATTCGAATGAGTCTGTGTGCAGGAATCTGGTAGGTATAGGCTGGCATGCTGACTTTAGCACATTACACAGGCAGCTAAGTTCTGATAATTCACTTTAAATATATACATTCCACCAAATTGGGTCACAAAAATTACTCAGAGTTAAGTTGTGATATTGAATCGGGCATTATTTCCTTTAGTGCCTGCTACATGTGGTTAGCACATGATGTAGTGCTCTGGGCCAGAACAACCAAATCTACATCTACAGGATCAATAACCACTTGCACTTTTATCACTGTTTGCTTGGGGGCATTAGCCCTGGAATAAATTCATTGATCATAATGGTTGCCAAGACTCATTGTGGGTTATTAAAAATCACCAGAGTGCTTCTAAACATTGCAGGGTAATAAGCCTCACAGCCAGAAAGAAGCTCAGATGCAGCTGATACCAGGCCCTTGCTATTCAGTGTGTGGCTGGGAACCAGCTGCAACAGCATCATCTGGGCACCTGGGAGAGAAATGTAGATTTGCAGGCCAGCCTAGAGCCGCAGAATCAGAATTAGCATTTTCACAAGTCCCCTAGGAATCTGATGCATAAAAGTTTGAAAAGCCATGACCCAGCGTGGTGTTCCCAATAGAAACATAATGCCAACCACGTGTATAATATTAAAGTTTCTAGTAGCCACATTATCAAACATAAAAAGAAACAGGTGAATAATTTTAATAATTTTTTTTTTTATTTAACTTGATCAAAAATATTCTCTTTCCATGTGTGGCTCTAGCCACATTTCAAGTTGTTAGTGGTTACAGTGGCTATCATGTTGGACAGCACAGGTACAGGGCATCACTTAAACATTAAACTTTCTTCGAAAAATCCAGGTGGTTCTAATTGTTACTCAGGAGAGAGAACTAGTGTTGCTTAAAGAGCATAAGAACATTAGGTGCCAAAATTCAGCTGACTCCTATACTTAATGGACAGCATTTTTCACTGTTGGCTTTTCTGGGGCCTTCGTGGGGCGGGCTCCGGTTACCTAACCTTGGAACTTCGGCATCCTTGAGGTCAGGCATAGAATAGCTTTCAGCTGGGTTCCAGTTCCTTGATCTTGGAAATCAGCTTCGCCAGGTGTTGATTTGTCTTGATCTAATTCTTTTGAGAAACTGTTTAGCAGAAAGTGCACAATAAACTCTCCTTTTGAGATTCTGTCTTCAGTAAGTCGAAGCAATGGAGGCAGAAGATGTAGCCACATTACAAGACGGATAGGACATCTGCTCGCTTCTTGAAAGTGTGCAGCCTTTGCTGCTGCTGCCGGAGTGAAACATACATAATAGTAATGGAGATCCAGGAGATGAAAGAACTGGGGCTATTTCATCTTCGCATTCCTAGAGATATTACATACCATCCCTAGCACAAGGCAAGGGCTAAGGACTCTCTCTCTCATATGTATACGAATATATGTGAATGGCCCTGGTCTTCTGAATTTGAAATTCTAGTTGAAAAAAAGGGTGTGATCTGTCACTTGGCTTGGAGTTGAGATTGTGAAAGGGAATGGAACCGGACTAATACAGGAGCTGACAACCACATGTGGCTCTTGTCACCTGCAATGAGGCTTATCTACAGTGAGACATGCTTTGAGTGTGAAATATGCCCCAGATTTTGAAGACATGATCAGAAACATGTCTCATTAATAAGGTGAAAATTGATTTACATGTTAAAATGATAATCCTTTGGATATTAAAATTAATTTATCTTGTTTCTTGTTACATTTTTTAACTTGGCTATCAGGAAATACATAGCCACATATATGAATTACATTATTTTGTCTGAGACATCCCTAGCCTAGACTCAGAGCCCCTCCAACTCTTCATCTGATCCCACCAGGCTGGGCACAGACCCACAGCAGCAGCTGAAGGGTTAAGTCAATGAGGGAAGCTCAAGTTATCATCTCCTAGAGTAGCCCAAGCTATGATTTGATTGAAATAATCTGTCAGACCCCCCAGCCTGTGTATTGAGAATCTAGTCCTGCCTTCAGCTACTGGGCAGGGGATCCTGTGTCCCTAAGTGTTCCCACTGTGCCTGGCATGGAGTTGGCCTCAGATCATACCTGCAGCATTAATTACTTCATTCCCTGGATGTTGCTGTCTTATATTTGTCTTTTGTAGAAAGCTGAGAAGTGAGAAAGGAATAACATTGAACTCACTTCCACAAGATGCTTCTCTTGCTCCAGCTGCTTCTGAAGGGAGCTGAGATATGGAATGGGACCCACCTATACGGGGCTTTTACATAGAAAGTCCTGTCTCCCACTTTACCCACTCAGTCAGATATTGATTTAAATCTGGAATCAATGAGTTTTTTACTGAAGATATGGAGATATAGAGAAGCACCACGTGCAAAGGACAGCAATTTATCCTGCAAGTGGTTGTATTTTGATCAATATAGACATACCCCTTCTTCTGGATTAGCTTTTGAATATCATGTTTGCATATGACGAAATTTAGAATTCGACCAGAAAACTTTCAAAGCCAAATATTTGGCACCATTATTAGCCCTTATGCAATGAATGGAGCTAGTTTTCAGTACTTTTTACTCACAAAGTAAAACCACCTCATATTTAATTAATTAATTAATTAATTTGTTAATTAGAGACGGAGGTCTCACTATACTGCCCAAGCTGGTCTCCAACTCCTGACCTCAAGTGATCCTCTCGCCTTGACCTCCCAAAGTACTGGGATTACAGGCATGAGCCACCATGTCCAGCCTTCATATTTATTTTAGATCAAGGAAATTAATTCAACCTAATCATAAGTCTTTCCTAAAATCACCCTCACTAGACCATAATGATTTCTTCAAATGGGCTTTTTCTTCATGCTTTTTTTTTTTTTTTTTTTTTTTTGAGACAGAGTCTCACTCTGTCACCCAGGCTGGAGTGCAATGGCGCGATCTCGGCTCACTGAAACCTCCACCTCCCAGGTTCAAGCGATTCTCCTCCCTCAGCCTCCTAAGTAGCTGGGACTACCGGCACCCGCCACCACACCTGGCTAATTTTTGTATTTTTAGTAGAGACGGAGTTTCACCATGTTGGCCAGGCTAGTCTTGAACTCCTGACCTTGTGATCCCCCCGTCTTGGCCTCCCAAAGTGCTGGGATTAAGATCTGTGTTTAGAAGTTTGATTTAAAAACAAACAGAAATAATGCTCCCAGATAATCAGTGGGCTATTCAAGTTCCTGGCGTTATTTTTTCATTTCTCTTTGTTAATAACCATATCAAAAGTAAAAGATATTTTTACAATCTTACTATTTTCCTTATATTACAACCTACATGAAATGAGATGGCCCTCTTTATTTGTGTGTGTGTGTGTATATATATGTGTGTGTGTGTGTGTGTGTGTGTGTGTGTGTGTATATATATATACAAAAAAGATTTCCTTATGGTTTTAGATCATTCAGGGGTGGAAGAGTTGAGAATGGGAGAAGGAAAACCGGGACTCAAGGGGGTGGGTTGGGGAAGAGATTAGATTATATATTTCACTGCTTGGATCTGGCCTGAGGGTGAGATGTCACAGCCTGGGCTGCTATCTAGATGCTGAGAGGGTCTCAGGGATGTGTTTCTGACCGGGGCATCTTTGTCCAGAGGAGAAGCTGACAAATGCCCACCCGCAGGGCTTTTCTGCTGGAGTGCGTGGAGCAAGAGGAGCTCCTTGGTGTTCATCCAGTTTACCATGTGGGGAACCCAGCAATGAGGGGATTTGAGGGAGCCTTTCTCGGGCAGTTTGTTCTAACAACCAGCAGATGGCGCCCGAGATTGAGGCCCGGTGCCTGGTCTGCCCTCAAGGAATTTCAATATAGACCATATTCTGGGCCGTAAAACACAAGAAAAGAATATAAATCATACAAAGGATGCTTTCAGATCACAATAGATCAGAATAGCCGTCTATAGCAGAAAAACAGAACATTTCAAAAATATTAAACACTCTTCTCTGAAAATGTTTAGAGATTTAGTAACACATGGGTCAAAGAAGTCTCAAGAGAAATTAAAGAATATTTGAGGCAGGATGTGGTAGCTGGCACTTTTAACCCCAACTACTGGGGAGGCTGAGGTGGGAGAATAGTTTGACACTAGGAGTTCCAGCCCAGCCTGGGCAACATAGTGAGACCCTGTCTCTAAAAATAATTTATTTACTTATTTATTTATTTATTTTATTTTATTTTAAAAACTTGGGTTTTACCTAAAATTTCACTTTTTCTTGGCTTCTTCCTTTTCCTCCTGCTCCTACCTTTTCCTCCACTAGTTTCTCTGAAACCACATGAATTCTGGAATTAGAGTCTGGGAAACTTACCTATGCCAGTCAGGATAGGTGTATGTATCCTGGAATCCTCCTGACTTTGCTGCAAGTGTACTTTTCAATCAAGGCATATTGCATATATCCCCAGCACATTCACGTGGCGGGGAGGCAGGGCCTTTTCTGAATCAGCTCACAATGCTGACAAGCCAGACCCTTGACCGTCTTCAATGATTCTTAAAAATGGGATACAAGGCCGGGAGCAGTGGCTCACATCTGTAATCCCAACATTTGGGGAAGCCAAGGTGGGCAGATTGCTTGAACCCAGGAGTTTGAGACCAGTGTGGGGAACACGGTGAAACCTCGTTTCTATTTAAAAAAAAAAAAAGAGGGGGGGAGAGAAATTAGCCGGGCATGGTGGTGCACACCTGTAGTGCCAGCTGGGGCTACAGGGAGGCTGAGGTAGGAGGATCACCTGCACCTGGGGAGGTCAAGGCTTCAGTTAGCTGAGATCACACCACTGCACTCCAGCCTGGGTGACAGAATAAGGCTCTTAAAAAAAAATTTAAAAGTATGTAAAAGTTGCCAATGATTTAATATGCAAAGAACACTTGAAAAAACCAACACTAGTTTCAGTAGATCCCTCCTGCAGGGAACTGACTTGTGATAAGAGCATGACTGCCTGGCCCCCAGCACGCATCTTCACAGTGACCAAAGCTGTGCCAGCCAGAGGAGCACAGCACAGAGGACCCCACAGGGGAAATGGAAGGAGGAAGGATCGGCTGAGAGAGTCAGGTATTACCAGGAGTGCACTGGAGACAAAACAGTACATTCTACAGTGGGGGAATTTACCATTGTTAATGTAGACAAGTTCACGTCCAAGACAATGTTAGCTCCATGGAGCTGTGGCGGTGGAAAGTCATTCAGTGCTGGATAGGACACAGGTATTTATCCACATTTGTCTTGTTCAAACACACACACACACACACACACACACACACACACACCCCTACCCACCCCCCCACGCCACCCCCACACACATTGCTCTAGGAATAAAAAGTATTGCACCCTTATTATTTAGAAACTCACATAATCCATTTGGTTACAGCCAAATATTTATTTAACTTATAAACTCCGTAATACATCAAGCTGAACTTACAGAAATAAAAGGTAAAGCATTTGGAATTTAAGAATACAATACATATCATTAGAAAACAAAATATAAACACAAAACTCACACGTTTGATGGTGACAATAATCAATATTTAAAACTCAGCTTTTATCCTAATGAATCTATGAAGTTAACTACATCATGGAATGGTCTATATTTTTGTGCCATGATTTTGTAAAATATATATACCCAACAGAAACTTGCTAGGGTCTACCCACCAAATAATTTAATTTCCCGATCCTGTTTCTATGCAGTGGGGGTTTATTTGCCCTCCCCAGGATGGACTAGAGGATGGGCAGTGCCTGGGTTTATCACAGGACAGACACTCAGGACACCCTGATCTGGGAGGGTGGAAGGAGCAAAATATGGGCGCAGTGGCTCCTCAGGAAAAACTTTCGTGAATGTATAGATGTGGGATCCATCTCCAAGGTGGTAAAAGGAGATGTCTCCCATGCCTCTATCCATAAAAATCCCCATTCGCTGTAAATTGGGGTTCACCCAGACGGGTGTTGGAGGGCTTGTGTTAGCAAAGTGGAAGCCCTCAGCCCTCAAACTCACAATCCAGAATCCATGCTCTGTGGTCATTTGGATGTTCCCTTTGCGGCTGGCAGATTCTCTGCAGACTCCCAGATTCCATTCTGTGCTTGTTCCTAGGTCCACCTCCCAGTAGTGGCGGCCAGAGGTGAAACCAGGGGAGCCCAGGACAGCACCTGCCAAGTTGAATCTCTCAGCACTGTTTGGCCGATTCTGATGGATCCTCCCACATCGGACGCTCCTGAGGTCTTCAGAAATGAGGAGGAGGTTGTGAGCTGTGTCAACATCCAAGGTCACCTCCACTGTGAAAAGAAAAACAAGCAGCTGAGCAAATGCACAGAAGCCAAGTCCATTTCACTCCTCTACTGCCAAGTCCCAAATATCTCATCGAGTTTGATTTCTGCCATTCCGCTTTTTCTCCTGAAGTCAGAGCTTTTCTCGAGGCAACTTCCCTGAGTAGTTGAAATTCTCACAGATATACTCGTTGTAATACCTGGCTCTTACTTGTAGTAGAAGTTCTTATTCTACATTACACTCTGTGTGTGTTTATGTCATGTATTTCTTCTGCTTGGAGGCCTCAAGACAGACACCACAACCCTCTTTCTACTATACTGATGAGTGAAAAATGAGTGATAATTAAGACAACGCAAGTTTGCAATATTAAATGATATGTTTCTTTTTTCACATTTTATTAGTCCAATTTAAATAGTGTCTAGGGCATGAATCCAGGCTTTTGTTCTCCATATTTGTAACCAGTGACTTTTGTTCACGGTTTTGACAGGAGATGGGATATCTCTGCAGCTGATAATGGATGACAGAGGTCCCATGCCTGGATGTTAGGAGAATCTAAGGCCAAGAGGAAGATAAGGACCTAGACACAAGGATGCTCTTCATCCTATGGGGGAGTTGGGGCCTTAAGCAAGACAGTGTTAATGGGCTTAAATTTAAGAGATGAGATAAAGGTATTTAAAAGTTATTAGAATGAGCACTTTACAGCATTGCGTATGTGGTTGAAAAAAGTCACCAACTTTAATGGAAGAGGAAGAAAGGAAGGGGTGGGATCTGGTCTAGGAAAATTTATTATCTAGACCATTCTGGAAAAAGTAAATCTACAGAACCTGTTATCCTTCAAGCCCAAAGACAGATGTGACCACCAATGTAGATTTTGTACATTAAAATAAGGTATCAGCTATTATTTTGTTAAATAGGTTTCTACGCCTTTGCCTGTCCCTGGAACTCCCAAAATTTGAATATGTAGTCACATAGGCTTTCTGGGTTTTTTTAAAATATTGTCTTTTTTTTTTTTTTTTTGGTCAAATGGGGTTATTTCAAAAGACCTGTAGAATGAGACAAAAGATTTGTAAACTATTCATCTGACAAAATTAATATGAATAATATACGAGAGACTCAAACAGCAGCAGAAAATCAAACATTCTCATTAAAAAGCAGGCAAAGAGGGCCGGGTGCGGTGGCTCAAGCCTGTAATCCCAGCACTTTGGGAGGCCGAGACGGGCGGATCACGAGGTCAGGAGATCGAGACCAGCCTGGCTAACACGGTGAAACCCCGTCTCTACTAAAAAATACAGAAAACTAGCCGGGCGAGGTGGCGGGCGCCTGTAGTCCCAACTACTCAGGAGGCTGAGGCAGGAGAATGGCGTAGACCCGGGAGGCGGAGCTTGCAGTGAGCTGAGATCCGGCCACTGCACTCCAGCCTGGGCGACAGAGCGAGACTCCGTCTCAAAAAAAAAAAAAAAAAAAAAAACAAAAAGCGGGCAAAGAATTTCAAGACATCTCTTGAGAGAAGGCATATGAATGTCCAATAGGAGTATTAAAAAATTCTCAACAACACTCAGATAAATGCAAATAAAAACCAAAATAAGATATCATTTCACCTGGTTAAAGTGGCTATTATCAAAAGCACAAAATAAAACAAATGCCAGTGAGGATGTGAAGAAAAGGGAACTCTTACACAGTGTCAGTGGAAATGTAACCGAATTGCACGTGTATCTCATAAATGTGTACACATTTCTTTTAAGTTTTGAGAATCCCTTGTCTAAGCCATGACATAGACACGGGTATTTTTTGTTGGTGATCAAAAAATAAAACCAGGTGTTTCTACGTGTTGTCAGGGCTGAGAATCACCGATGCCAGAGGACCATTTCAGTTTCAGGTGCCAGACATCAGCTAATTCCCATATGGTATGGAGAGCCAATTGCAACAGTACTTTTTCCTCTTTTGGTAGTGGGAAGGGGCAGGGTATACAAACTCCTTACCTTGGAACTTCCGCATTCTTGGGTTCATCTTCAGAATCTTTTTCAGCTTGGGCTCCAGTTCCTTAATGTGGGAAACCAGACTCCCCAGCTGCCGATTGAGCCTGATGTTGTTTTTCTGAGAAGCCACCAGGCAGAAGGGACACAAGACACCTTCCCCTTGGGGCTCTTTCTGCAGTGAATTGGTGCAGCTGAGGCAGAAAACGCATTCACACTCCAAGGACATCGGCTTTTCTAAGTAGGCTGTGCAGATGGGACATCTGGTTGCTTCTTTTAAGAGTTCATCCGTGGTCACTGTCAGGGAAAACAAAAATACACAGGGAAGTGAATTTTCATGAAGTGACAGCCTCTTAGTGTGTAACAAGTGACAACTTTCCATGCATAGAGTTACTGTGTTCCAGCTTTGTAGTCCCTAGATCAAGGCCGTGAGTACCAACACTCCAGCACATGCCCTTGTCTTCAGAGATTTGAAGTTCTATTGGGAAAGACACGTCCCAAATCGTCCCTGTGCTCTGAGCTGAGGTGGAGGAAGAGTCGATTCTCCTGGTGACCCAGCAGCTGTGCCAGCAGATGAGCCTGCAGCAGTTGAGGCTGTGCCAGCAGTACCCATGTGAGGAGCAGCGAGCTTGGGTCATTTCGTCTCCTCCGAGGGGAGCCCAAGCAAGAGATTCATTAATGAGAATAAGAACTGCATCCTTCCTGCAGCCTTGGGACTGAATACCAAACTGACTGCCACCACTCCTAGAGTGAGGGGATCCAGGGTGACTGATTTCAACTCCGAGGCAGCACTCAGACAGCCTTTGTTGAATGCATTAATTACTAACTTCTTTCATTCATCCGCCTATGTTATAACCCCAATTCTAGACATCTGAGAAGGAAAAGCAAAGCACACAGGTGTGGACTCACCTCTTCTGCTGAAAGCTCCTTTGTACTCCATCGTCTTCCACCAGGAGCTCAGGTATGGTGGGGAAGCGGCATAGGAAGGCCTTTTATTGGCAAGATTGCCCCACCCTCCATGATGACACCCTGCCACTCCCTCTAATCCTCCATGGTCACACCCTGCCACCCCCTCTAACCTAATCAGGTGTTTATTTAATTATAGCAGGGAATGAGGTTTTTATTGGTGATAAATCTGCAGTCCACAATATTCTTAGTAAAACCCTTCATCCTGATAATATTTACCTTGAAAAAGAAGATAAGATTAAATTGCCATCACTTTAGGTTAGACCCAACCTACTAATATCACAAGCCTATTTTAGGGAATTTTTCCAGCGTTTGTTAGTAGCAATGGTTTTGCCGATATATATTATACACATCAAGCTTTGCTTAGAATCCTAAAATAGATTATCAGTGTGATTGCATTTGCAATTTTACGAAGTTCTATAAATTCATATACATCAGACTATTTTAGGGAGTTTTTTGTTCAAAAAACTTCCATTTGTTCAAATTTTATTCTAAAAATTTTTGATAAATCACAGGAATAATTTAAATTGTGAAAAATTACTTCCATTTGTTCAAATTTTATTCTAAAAATTTTTGATAAATCACAGGAATAATTTAAATTGTGAAAAATTACCATAGAAATCTGGGTATTAGGCACTTCATAGTGTTAGGATACAAGCCAGGGTCGAAGAACAGGGAACGTTTTCTCTGCTGCTTATGTTTTCAAGTAGAATCATTCACATTGAAGTAAATGGTACTTTTCTTTCCCTTGAACCAGCCTTGAGTCTTTTCCTTTTAATCCCCTTCTATGTATAAAAATCCCCTACTGAGATATTTGTATTTTGTTTCAAAATTCAAATTATTCTAATGTCGTCTTGCTATTTTTCCCATCTCACATTTTATCATGGATTAAATAACTTTTCTCTTTCTACATACTTTTTTAAAGGGAGGCCTAGTTCTGGTCCTCTTTAAATATGATTCCTCGGGGAACAGATGACTCGGAGAGACTGAGATCTTGAGCAAAAGGAATAATGAATCTACAGATATCACGGAAGAGGCTACTAGGTTAATTTAAGTGATTAATGCCTACTTAATTTTTAGAAGCACAGCTTCATTTTCAACTTTTAAATAATTTTTTTTTTTTTTTGAAACAAAGTCTCGCTGTATCACCCAGGTGCTGGAGTGCAGTGGCACCAACTCAGCTCACTGTAACCTCTGTCTCCCAGTTCAAGCAATTCTCATGCCTCAGCCTCCCAAGAAGCTGGGATTACAGGCGTCTCTACTAAAAAAACACAAAAAAATTAGCCCAGCGTGGCGGCGCACACCTGTAGTCCCAACTACTTAGGAGGCTGAGACAGGAGAATTGCTTGAACCTGGGAGGTGGGGACTGCCGTGAGCCAACATTGTGCCACTGCACTCCAGCCTGGGCGATAGAGCGAGACTCCATCCAAAAAACAAAAACAAAAAACAAACAACAAAAAAAAACAGAGGGTGTTAGTTCTCTCCTCAATTTCCTCATTCATCAAAATGGAGACAATCTAAGTAAACCACCTAGAACAGCAGCACACCACATGCGTAGGGTCTGAAATAAAACTCTATTTCTTCTGCATCTTTCTTTCTTTACAGTATCAGATAAACACAGTAACACCAAACCCAGAATCTCTACATTTCTTTTTTTTCCAACATATTCTATCCGCAATATTTCTCAGTAAAAGCTGACATTTAAAAAGAGTTTCCTCCTCCTAGGCCCTCAAAATACTGAGAACCTGGTTTGCAGTGAGCCCTCCATAACTGAATGTTAAATGACTGAATTCCTTCATTAATGACTTGCTTATTTAATCTTGATAAATATACTTTATTTTGTTCTTTCAATAGCAAATATGTCCCGAGGGCCGCAGAGAGGGTCAATGGTGGTGCTCTGAGCTGTGCAGGTGGGGCTGTATCGGAGTGGTGGGAGGGTCAGGTGTGTGTTTCCGACCTGGGCATCTTTGTCCAGAGGAGCAGAAGTGGACACACGCCCGCCCACAGGGCTTTTCTGCTGACGTGGGTCGGCGGGAGGGGCTCCTGGGTAGTGGCTCCGTTTAGGGTCTACAGCTGATCAATGAGGGGACTGAAGGGACCTTTCTCAGGTAGTGGCGTCTATCAACCAGCAGATGGCGCCAGAGGTCGCAGGGCCCTGCCTGGGTGTGGGTGTTTCTGGTTGGCACCCCAGGCTCTTGCGTGGGGACTCTCGCCCCTGAGCACTGAACGCAGTTCCTCTGTCCGAGACCTTCTCACTCGCAGAACGCACAGTTGCACATATGAGCACCTCACCTGTCACTCACGCTGTCTTACATACCCTCCCACTCCCACCCTTACCTCCCCTCTCAGATGTGTGCGCCAGCATTTTCTCTCCACCCACAGCCACAGATGCCCCCGCGGCCCGTGCAACTGTGCACACTCGGTGCAGTGGACCCCCGCCTCCTGCTTTCAACCTTGCACTTTATCTCACACATTTTCCCACCTAGAGACCACATTTCAGACCCACAGACCCTCTCAGCTTCTCCCCTTGCCTCTCATCCCCTTAAAACGAAAATCCTTTATTTCCTCCAGAATTTGTCTGCTCTCTTCCCAGAATGCCCGTCCATCTTCTAGCTGATCCTCTAGGGCAGTCGTTTCCTGCCCCTTGGTTCCAACAGCTCCTTTCGTGCCAGTTTTTGTCGCGTGCCTCTTACCAGGCTGAAGCGGAACTGACGCAGAGCATCACAGAATGCCCGAACTCAGGGGTCTGCAAATACGACTCATTGATAGGCTGCCCGTTTTGGTAAATGAAGTTTTGTTGGTGTGTTTCTTAGGGCTGTCCTACGCCACAGTGACAACATTAAGATGGTTGTGACAGAGAACTTACAATACCGTCCACAAGCATAAAACATTTACTGTCTGGGGGCTCAAGCCTGGAATTCCAGCACTTTGGGAGAACGAGGTGGGAGGATCACTTGAGCCCAGGAGTTTGAGGCCAGCCTGGGCAACATGACGAAACCTTGTCACTACAAAAAATGTTTGAAAGTAGCCAGGCGTCTGTGGTCCCAGCTACTCAGGAGGATCACTGGAGCCCTGGCAGTTGAGGCTGCAGTGAGCTGTGTTTGCACCACTGCACTCCGGCCCGGGCAAAAGAGTGAGACCCTGTCTCAAATTTTAAAAAAAGAAAATAAAAAGAAGAAGAAATTTGCTGAGCCCTGGAACTCCTCACACTTTTCAGGACTTCTAGTGCCTGCCACCTACAGCATCTCAACGTCAACAGTGACCCCAATCCCTGTGACAAGCACACACTCCCCGTGGGTTTGCAAGGTGCCCCCTACGGAGAAACTGCACTGCTGCCTTTATTTCCTAATGACCACTTCTTCTTGTTTTTATTCAGTTTTTAGAGATCACTCTTCCAAAAGCACTTAAGGCCATGTGGGAAAACCCCATGGCCCAGGACATGAAAGCATCTTGCATCTTGAAGATTTTACTCTAATTTTGTTAAGGTTTTTTGTTGTTTTGTCTTGTTTCATGCAGCAGTTTTCTCACTGCTTTAAGTGTAGGTGACACTTTAGTTTTATTCCTCCCTTTGTAATGGATTTTTGTTTTTTTGTTTTTTTGGTTTTTTTTTTTTTGAGACAGAGTCTCGCTCTGTCGCCCAGGCTGGAGTGCAGTGGCGCAATCTCGGCTCACTGCAGCCTCCGCCTCCCAGGTTCAAGCACTTCTTCTGCCTTAGCCTCTCAAATAGCTAGGACTTACAGGCACGTGCCACCACAACCAGCTAATTTTCGTATTTTTAGTAGAGACGGGGTTTCACCATGTTGGCCAGGATGGTCTTGATCTCCTGAGCTCGTGATCTGCTTTACAGCAGGATTACAGGCATGAGCTACCACACCCAGCCATGGATTTTCTTTTAAGGCTTCTTTTTTGTTGCAATGCCTTCCTCTGCGAAAGCAAAAGGAAGAAAAAGAGATCATTCTTTATCTTTCAAACAAAAACTGAAATTACTACGTTTATTTTGCACATTTGTCACTGCAATGAACACTGTGTCCTGATTGTATGGATGTGTCCCCCACATTTCACGTGCTGGCCTTGATCTCCAGTGTGGCGGTGTTGAGAGGTGGGGCCTTTAAGAGGTGATTGAAACAGGAAGAGACAAGATAAGTA